AATATATATATATAAATAAATTTTATTTCCATTGTAAGCCTTTCAGTTGCTGGGATTTTTCCTAGCAACTGAAATGTATTAAACTTGGAAATTGTTTTCTTTATAGTGAGTTAGAAGGGGTTTTTTTTGCATTTAATAAATCACTTTTAAGTATGTCTGAGCTTCTATAATTCCAAACACACCCCTATATTATATGGAGAGGTAATTAGCCATATTAGTCTGTCTTAAGTTGGGCAGAAGGCAGGGTAGAAGTACATGTTTAAGACTAGCTGAATCAGAGATGCATAAGCTCTTGTGAGCCACATCTAATGAACTGAGCGGTGACTCATGAAAGCTTATGCATCTCTGTTTTAGTTGTTCTATAATGTGCACTGCTACCCTGCCTTCTGCCAAAGGAATGAATTTTATTAGTAGATGTTTAGGATTATGAATCCAAAAAGATGATAAAGCCAGTAGGGAAATACAAATCACCCAAGCAAGGGACTAACATTAGAGGGATGGGGGTGAGGAGTGGAACGCAACTAAGTTACAGAAAATACCATGTTAGCCAACTAAGCCCAGGGGAGGGGGGTGGGGAAAGTTGAAGGAGGAGGTTCGCGACCCTGAGAGAGAAAGAAGATGGATACACACAAACCTGTACAATGGTCCTCAGTGTATACATTATACATTATAGAGTTAGCCCAGGCCTAGATAACTCCCCACTGCAAAGTCATACTTGTGCCAGACCTATTTAATTTCATTCACAATAGTGGTGTACCAGCCCGAGTATCAGGATGGATTTCAGATGAAGTAGTATATGATTCTTAAACCAAGCTGTTCTAAGAATTAATTCATACAGTGCTCCTTCTCTCTCCTACCTTGAATGGAACTATTGTGGTGCCACTGGCATGACGTATTTACAAAAAGTATTGTTCCCAAGTGGAGTTACTCATTATAATGCAGACAGTACTGGGAAACGCAGAGAGCATTTGGCAGCAAGAACTTTTAATGAGAATGTCATTAAAGAATTCTGTCTGCTAACCTCAGAATGATTTGCAGCAAACCCAATTGACTCTCTACGATTTTGTTCCTTTCCTATCTACTAATATAAACATGTAATTCAGAGTGCTATCATGCCACTGTTTTACCAGAAGGCTGGTATTAGTTTCTGGCAAGCTAGCAGCAGGGAAAGAAGACTTCAGGGATGGCTTCCTTGTCCTACTACTGTGAAAGGTCAGCAAAAATGGATTGTTAAAAATCCGTGAAGAAGAAGGGAGACAAGAAAGTATAGCTCAAGCAGAATTGTGGGAGAGAACTGGAAGACTAAAAGCATCCAAGCTTGGTTAACCCTTGTTCTTCCTACATGAGAAATGAGTTTTCCTGTTTGGGATGAAGTGACAGGTGTATTCTTGGTGTATTGATTTCACAATGGAGCCATGAACAGCATCTGCTTTAAAGAATAGGAAAGATGACAGAGAAATGAGAAAGTACATGTGAACTGGATTGCATTGAACAACAGGTTCTCCAAGTGCGTTGATAGCAAAGTCACATATTCTTAACACAGCATGGATAAACATTTCATCCTTCTGTCTTAGGTTCAAACAGTTTTATTTGGCTACTCTGGCATACATTTGTGTGCACTAGCAGTAGGCTTTTCTCAGTGGCCTATACAAAATGCTTTGCCAAAATGCTTCATACAGCCTTTAAGAGTTATCCTGTACTTGAACAAAGCTAAAAGGTACCAAACAGGTCCAATTAGATGATTTATCCCCAGGTTCCAATTAGATAGCGGCAAGATGAATGGAGTTTAGGGCAATCTCTCTCTCTCGCTTTTTTGTTAATGGACAACACATCCTACTTACCAAGCTTTAAAAAGATATGGAAAAAATTGCTACTAATTATTTGGCTAAACATTACTGAAATAATTACAGTAGAGTCTCAATTATCTAAACAACAGTTATTCAAACCATTCTGTTATCTGACTTCAGGATAGGCTGACTTCAGGCTAGGTTGCCTAATGTGTGGTAAAAGTGAGAGCACTTTGTATATAATTTGCATTTAAAGGTTTATTGAATGTGCTTCATTGCCCAAACAATTTTGATTTGATAAATGCATTTTGATCTCAGATAGTTCGGAGAACAGATTCTCTACTGTACCACTGCAACATAATGTCTACGCTGATAGGGCCCTCCTTAAGGTTGTTCTTACTCTTGTACCTGTCAACCTTCTACACCAATGGTCTCCCAACTGTCCTTGGTTTATGAATGTCAAGTACTGGACAAGTAATATGATTCATACAATATCATACTTCACTTCCCCTGTCAACCTCAGTTTTAAGTTTTAAATTTTTGTGGTCCAAGTAATGTTGGAGTGTCTCATGGGCAATGTTTTCTATGAGTCTTGGGTTGTGGGCCACTGATCTACTCTATATAGTCTTACAACTGATCCTAGAAGTAGTCTATTGTGAGCTGAGAAATTCTGCTGAACTTCAAGGTATGATGCTGACCCTGCTGCAGTGTGTTTTTAAGTTTCTCAGGTCCCTGGCATGTGCTACATTTTTGGAATGATTAAAGGAAACAACATGCCACACCTATATTGAATTTATGGTACCATAAAATGCTAAATGAGCCATAAAGATATTCCTCAGAATGTGTGTAACATCTTTGTGGCTGGTTTGTATGGTACCATAAATTTAATGTGTGGCATGCCTCATCATCCTAGTGCTTACTGCAGCTGGGAAGCCTTTCGTCTGGAACCTGGCTGGGAGATATGAGCTTACTAGGACCAGGAAGGCACCTTAAAAATCTTTGCCCTGCAACCTGTGGTCCTGGGTGTAGAAAGCTAAGCACCTCTTTAAATATGGGTGTGCAGCTGGTTGAGAGATCTTCTCCAATCCCCACTTGCACATGCCAGTCAAAAGAGGCACCCAACACGAGCAGCTGTACATGATGTGTAGCTCTTTAAATGTGCAAGTACAGCTGGGGATGTGGGAACTTACTTCTGTCCTTGGCTGCACACACCAGTTTAAAGAAGGATCTAAGAATCTCCCCCATGACCAACTGCATGCTCCCTTTTTTTTAAATATGCTCAGTATGACCAGCTAGAAATAGAGGAGCCACCCCATTCCCCAATGCTTATTTTGAGTACCTCTTTAAAATGGCATAAGCAGCAGGGAGGGAGTGAGCTCCCCCATCCCCAGCTCCACTGTGGGGGGTACCAAGAGCCCAGTATTGGGGAGCCGTTCCCTGATTTCAGGCTTACAGTCTCCAGGCAACCCAAAAAAAAGCAGATAGGAGTGTAGCTGGGACTCTCAGCTATGTATCTGCTTTTTTAAAGGAATGGTGCTCTGTAAGCCTGACATATGGGAAAGGCTTCCCAGTGGTAGGTTCATGGTGCCTTAGACCTTTTAAAAGCAGACATGAAATTGAGAACCCCTGTGGCACTCCCACTTTTTTAATGCTCCTGGGCATCCATGAAAGCACCCCCTGGAGAATGAGGAGCTCCCAGTTCCCCAGATGCAACTTCTTTGGAGGGTTGGGGGTGCAGCTAGAGAGTAGGGAGCTTCCCATTCTCCAGGTACAGGTGCCCCCTACCCCTCCATGCTGGCTCTCATTTGATTGGACTTGGAGAAATGTTATGTCCCATTCCCCAAATTGCTTGACCTGCCATGCCAGATTTCCATAGCAGGTCACACACTTCTGTGAATGGGGCATAACATTCCTCATACTCCAGTTTTATGCCCCATTCTCCAAATTGTGTGACCTGCTGTAGATGTCTGGCATGGCAGGTTACGAGAAATGGGACCTAAAACTCCTGAGACCCCAATTGTGCAACTGCTTTAACATCTGCCAGTGGTGTCATAAACTGCATGGATAGAACACAGGTCTACTTCTTTGCAGAAGTACCAGAATGCCCTGTTCCTGTTTAATGGACATTCCTTATACTGACCCCCACCTCTCTGCTGCCCTAAGAAGATTCAAGCCTAGAGAGACAAGTAGTCAACAGACTGATTCCTAGAAGACTTCTGTTTTGCATGGCATGATTTAGCATTTTTATTGTATGCTTGACAAAGATCAGAATGAAAAGCTGGTGGCTTTGATGTGGTTTACAGGGTTCAATATAGAAGGGAAAGATAGATTATGTGTCTTGGTCTGATTGAGAATAACCTCATGATGAACATTAAATAACGACATAGAATGAGAGATGTTCCTAAGGTCATCCAGGAGGCCTATGATGTAATAGGAAATTTAAATGTTTCCCAAGTTCCAGGTTAGCCATGTAATCATTAGGCCATCTTTCCTGTCCTTGTTTACTATGGGTATGTACAGGCACTGAATTTCAATTGATCTAACCAGGGTTAAGCTTATCTAAATGCCCACTTATGTAGGCATTCTAAGGGTTTAATTTGACCAAAAAATGGCATGCCCAAACTAAATTAGTTCATCTCAGGAGGTGCACTTAGATTGAGATAGGGATAAACAATCTAGGAAGGGGTTAACCTGATCTAGCCAATGCTTGCATATACATCCCCAGGGCTGGGGAATCTCACCTGCTCGCTTCAGCCCTGGGGCTGTTCTGTTTTACCCCCAACCCTGATCCTGACTGGACTATTTTTAATCCCCAGATTCCTTCCAATCTCCCCTGACCAGGCAACCTCTGCCTGTACTGACACACCATAGCCCTGCCAGTCACTGACAGAAATGCCAGCCTCCCCCTGGACCCATCCTTCTCACCCCAAGTTTCTTACCTCAGGCTGCCTGTGTTGCTGCCAGCAGTGGCAAATGACTTCATGTGCCACTTCTAGCAGCAGCAAAAGGCTGCATGTGCCTCTACCAGTCTAGGTTTAAGCAGTTTAAAATAAGCCGCCTGAACTTAGACTGGCTGCAACAAATGCTTGTTCACAGACAGCTTACCACTTTCACAGTCACTGAGAGTAACACATATATCTCTTTATCAGGCATAAGATGTCAATATTATGATTGTTAAAGGGCTTGTCTTACCGGCATTGTGAAAACAGAAGCTTATTTTGTGAAGCATACTTGGCACCAGTGTGTTGAACTTAAAGAAAAATACAGATCTTCTCTGATTTGGACAATGGTAACCTTGATGTCTCCCAAATCCAATAAAAAAACTGATAGTTTATTATGTAATGGCATAGCATTTCAATGTAAAATAAATTATTTTTCTATTATATTAAACAATTTGCTTATAATGTATGGTGGTATGGTACCAAGAATCTTGTCTGTGTGTATTTGCAGAATAATTATATACATGTATACTTGATTCTGTCCAGCAAACCTAGAAAGAATGTGTTTGATTCAGAGCAATCCTCTTTGAAAATAAGCAATACTCTTTGCTATAACCAGTCTGAAGATTTGATGACATCTCACTTTCCTCAGGAGTCTCAGCTGAAAGCTTTGAAGGAGACTGTCCAACTCTGCTTGTCTTCTGTTCTTCACAATCAACCTCCAGCTATGAATATAATCCATTCAAAACCAACTGAGAGGCTGACATCCCCAGTTACAAACGGCTCAAAAGTTCCATTTCAAGCAACAAACACTAAGGTAAAATGTATTCCCTTTTTCATTTAAAGAGCTTTCAGTTTGTCCTGTAAGACCATCAAAGTGGAACTAAGAAGGATTTAAAATTTATTGAAAGATTAGAAAGTATTTTAAAGATAATGCTAAGCATTTTTCCCCTGATGTCACTAAAATTACTTTTAAAAAGATGGAGAACATGAGAACATCTATTTTTATAGCTATTGAACAAAATTCTTCATCTTCTGTTACGTGGACTATGTCTGCATATGGATCTAGCATAGTTCTCTGTATGAAGTATGTATGTATAAAGTAAGTGTCTGCAGGTATGAGACATGGAAAGCCAAGGCAGGCATGGAGATCAAGCTGGTGACTGAAATTAAGAACAACAAAAAGTCTTTCTATAGGTACATAGGGAGCAAGAAAAAAAAATGATCTCCTCTGTGGGACCCTGCTGAATACAGAGGGGCAGCCCACAGTTGATCCCCACAAAAAGACAGAGCTCCAAAATATATACTTCACATCTGTATTCCTGAAATCAGATGGGAGCTGTTCACCTGACCAGAGGCCCAGGGAATATGGGGAAGACAACAGACCACATGAAATCAGTCCTGAGCAGGTGAGGGTACTCTTAGCACATTTGGACATTTTCAAGTGTGCTGGGCCAGATAACCTGCATCTGAAAGCCCTGAAAGAACTGGCTAGGCTTGTGGTAGGACCTCTGGCAAAGCTGTTTGAAGAGTTGTGGAATTCGGGAGTAGCCCCAGATGAGTAGAAGAGAGTCAACATGGTGCCTATCTTCAAGAAAGGTAAGAGGGATGACCCTGCAAACTATATATTGGTCAGTTTGACTTCAGTCCTGGAAAACATCTTTGAAAATTTTTTTAAGGAGGCCATCAGTTACAAGTTCATAACAGGTGGGGTACTAAGAAGCAACCAGAATGGCTTTGTCGAAGGTAGATCATGCCTGACTAACCTGGTGTCCTTTTATGACCAGGTAACCAACCAGCTGAACAAGGGACACAAGGTTGATACCTAGACTTCAGTAAAGCTTTTGATTCCATTTCCCATGAGATTCTCTCAATTAAGTTGGAGGGTACTGGCCTAGACCAGTCTACAGTAAGGTGGGTGGACAATTGGCTTAGAAGCTGATCCCAGACAGTTGTAATCAATGGGATGGCCTCATCCTAGAGGGCCATCTCCAGTGGTGTCCCCAAGATTGTTGCTTGGACCTCTGCTCTTTAACATGTTCAAGACTTGGATGCGGGGGAGGGGGGTAGAAAGATCAATGGTTAAGTTCATGGATTTTACCAAGCTGTGGGGAAATCTGGGCATATCAGGATAGGATAACAGGCCTGTGCAAATAGGGAACTATTCAATTTGGATTTGGCCAATTTGGATGCCAGCAATTTTATTCAGAGATTCAAATCACTTTTCCGATTTGATTCTCCCAATTCGACTTCAAAAGATTCGGAGCAGATTTGGAAAGATTTAGAGATTTGGCCATAGAGTATAATGGGGAATCAATTAACTATCTATAACTTTGTTGTTTCATGGCTGATTCAGATGAAACTTGCAGAGGTAGTAGCCTCTGCTTGGAGCATGAAGCCTGCAAAGTTTCAAAGTAATAGGTGCAGGGGTTTCTTGGAAACTGTACCTCAAAGTTGTAAAAGCAAAACTCATATCACGTGTGTGTGTTATACCACATCAGGGTAAAAACTGCAGGGATGGTACTCTTGCTGAGGACACAAATCCTGTCAAGTTTCAAGGTGACAGGTGCTGGGATTTCTGGGATGCTTCACCTCAAACTGCTGACAAGCAAAACTTGTGACATAGGTGACACTGTGCATGTTAAGGCACATGGGGGTGAAAACTGCTGGTCTGACAGGACCTGCTGCAGCCATGAAGCCTCCAGCTGTCAAGGAGATAGGTGCAGGGGGAGCAGATCAAGACCCCTGAA